AAGGAAGGAGTGATTGTTAGGATGGGTATAACCCGTAATATTGTGCATGTTATAGAAATGTATTTTTTCTTTCAAAAATCCAATGAACTAATAAACGAATGGGCTAGACTGTATTTACTGGTGCGGTGGAGCCGGAGGGCGTGTTCCAGAGGTGGCACGTGCCCACGGTGACAGTTGCTCCGCCGCTGGGTATCCGGTGGCCGGAGCGGTCGGCGGGACCGGAAGCTCGCCGCTTCCGCCATCAGAGGTCAGCGCTCGGCTGCGGGGGTCCGGGCGCCGGCAGCCGGGTGGCATGGTCTGCGTCTGCGGTACACTCGAGGCGCCGAATGTGCCAGACCAAGCCCCGCATCGCCGCAGGCTGCCCGGGCGGACAGATAGGCTACAATACATTGTGGAACGCTCTTGACTACCGGCGTTCCGAGCGCCGTGTTCTAAGGCATCTACTAGACTTCCCGCGTGTATGTCCCATGCGACAACTACGTCGTGCCTGCTGTCCAGCAGACTGTCTGACGTCTGTGTGGAGGCCCCGGTGGGGCGCCGTGCCATCACCCGGCTCTGTATTCGACCCGTTACCCGTCGCGAGGGTTGTGGTCTGTTGACTACAAAATGAGTATCGCCTCCAGCTGACAGGTCGGGCTGATTGTGTCTACCTGAATCCAGAATGGACACCGGCTTCTGCGATTGCCTTTTCGTCGTCCATTTTAGAGCCCTGGAGTTCAACATAGCACCATGCGATCGATTCAGCTTGCATTTTGTCGCGGCTCCCTTCCAGGTCCTTCGTTTTACGACTGGCTGCCCAGTGTGCATAAGGGGGAGACTGGTCACCCTCAATAACACTTGATGGGAACGCTGAACAACGTTGAAACGCAGTGTCTATGGGCAGTCACCCAAAATGATAACGCCATTTGGATGGTTTTGGAGTCAACTGTTGCAACGCGATAATCGGTGGTTGGTGAGAATGTATTCAGTGGTCACATCTCGGCGGACCACCCCACGCACCACGGCGAACTGCCGCACGCAACACCGACAGAGAGACCCACCCCACGCGCCCGAGCAGCACCTCTTATACCATACCCGCAACACGATCTGCTTGCGACTGGCCGGCGCCACCGTGACGTACCGCCCCGAGCCGGGATTGTTCTCCTCACTCAGACATGAGTCTTCGCCCCACTCGCCTTACATGCTGATACACTGACCCGGGGCATGGTCCACCGCTACAGAGAGATGCAGCCGCGATGTTTTTTTCTGCAATAAAACCTAACAGAGCTTTGCCGTCAGAGAAGCCTCCGAAAGTTCCTGGAAGTTTAGCACCGGTTGCAGGGGCGCAGCCAGAGCCTTGGTAAGGGGAGGGGCACAGGATTGAAAAAAGGCTCCCTTATAGTAAGAGTCCCCCCCCCGAAAAGAAAATCGCCGGGTGTGGCCCACTTGTTACTGAGGACATGTTTTCCCTATATATTGCGCATTTTATATAAGGCAGATGCTACCACGAGATCCATTCTGTCTCCAGTTTGTAGGTAATAAACAACCAACATTGAGCGTTAAATGGCCACGAAATAGATCGCTGGCGCTCTTCATTTTATAATAGTCCAGGGGACTCATTTTGAACCGATAGAACTCAGAAACTTTGTCAGAACTTGTATCTGGGTTGTACCCAAATAGCAAGGATTCCGTGGATGTAGCTTTAAGATCAAAATGGGGCAGCAAGTTCCATTAACATGTTCAGGCCGTGTTTGTCTCGATACCTGCAACATTCAATCAGCATTGTTTAGTGGTGCAAATTATGTAGCGTAATTCTGAGCATGCGCGCTCGCATATCTAAGAAGAAAAAAAAACTCGACGCCAGGCGTTGCAGTCTCCCTAGGCCGTGCAGCGTTGGTCTCGTGGCTTACACTGGGCCGTGGCCAACAGGTGGATGAAAATAGTGATCCATTTAAAAGAAGTACCTTTGAACGCTTTGGACACCAAAACGTGCATCCAGATATATTCGGCGCGTGTATTTTATCTGTGCGGTTTTTAGATCAATGACAATAATATATTGGTCTTTACAGCACCGCGGGGTGGCGCTCGAATCTGGTCGTGGGACGGGAAGAGTAAATATACAATTTACATTTGTCGTGTTGCTGTAACTGTTAATCTGTCCAGAGCATATATTCAGTTGTAAAATGGGTTCGCCCGGTGTTATATTTGAACCGTACGAACCAATTTTGAAAGACATTCGGGAACATTTTATCGTCATTGTTGCGCGCCCGGCGCCCACCCCTTTGCGTTACAGCACCTAACGCCGTTCGGTTTTAAGAAAACTGCGACCCAAGCCATCGCTATCCTTACTCCCCGAGATCACGGCCGTGCCATTCGGGCTTTATGACGCACTCAGCTGCTGGGGGCCGCAGCAGCCTCGGCCTGGGGCCATACGGTGCTGCCAGCCTCTCACCCTGGCGGGAAGGGCGGGCACCACGGGGGAATGGAACTCCGTACCTGTGGTTTCCCAGACGCGCAGCGGTTAACACAGGCGCGGGACCACTACACTATCGGTACCCGGCGTACGGGCTCAAACATTCTCATGATATTTGTTTCACTAGCTAGTTTCACTTTCACTAGCTGTTTCACTAGATTCTGCAACAATAATGAACGTTTTCAGGCAAACATGGGATGGCCTTATGCGTTTTCAATTCAGTTCGACCCACTCCATTGAGTTCTAGTGAGACCCCTTATTTCTTTCCGGCAAAGGGGCCCCCGTGACTACAACTCTGCGGGGCACATTGTTGTTCCCGGTCAAGAGCTTAACGGCCATTCTGTCCCACCGCGGTGTGTTTTCCGGCCGTCATTCTGGCGAAGAACCGTCATTAACGCAACAACATCCCTGCATACCGCAGTTGGTCAAACTATTGGCACATAGACCGCAGTTGGGCTTAACGGGCCCATGCTGAAAAAAGAGTCAAAGGGCCCACCGTTTGGGAGTGGGGTACCTTGACTGGCACGGGACTCTTGTAGTACCTCAATGTGAGCACTCATCATAAGTTCTTGTTTCCTTCAGTTGTCAGAGGGCCCCGACCAACGCAGGAGACCCTCCGCCTTCTGTCATTAGACCCTCTACCCATACCCTCCACCATGAGACCTTCTACCCATGCCCTCAGCCATTCGGGCTCTCGTCCCCGTCCCCACTGAACAAATCTTCTCCTGACCGATTCGAGGTCAGTGTGCCGTGTTGGGCGCTGTGAACCTGACAGTGTGCCGTGTTGGGCGCTGTGAACCCCTGAACGATACAGAAGCCTGACCGATGTAAATCGTGGTCCTGGCCTTGTCCCTGCTTGGGAAATGGACCCCAGAACTCAGACCAACACGGAGCTGACTGCTCGTTGTTCCTGATCTCCGGCCGAAATAGAGGAACGCTCTGTCTCAGCGGCCGCTATCGGTGCAAGAGATCATCTCACTGGCATTTGAGGTCACGGTCCTACGGGCAGGGCCCTTAATGTGAACTGCAGCCAGTCCTTCGGCCCTTCAGCTTTCCCATCGGGCCCTTGATCATTTGTCTCGAGGGACCCTTCGGCTCCTCTTCGGGCCCACTCAGACACCGCTCCGACTCGGGGCCACTTAATGTCAGCGACCCTGAACATAGCAAATCGCGGACCCCGACTTCGTTTCTGCATGAGAAATTGGTCTCAAGGGCTCTGACGGATGTTGAGCCGACGGTTCGGTGTTAATGGTCTCTGACCGACTTAAATAACGGCATTGTCTCAGGGGTCCCTGAAGCAGTGCAAGAGGACCTCTGACTGATATTTCAGATTACGACCCTACGGGCCGCGACTCTTTATGTGACCTACAGCCAGCTCCTTGGGCCCTTATGCCTTCCAACCGGGCCTTTGAAAGTCGGTTCCAATGGGCCACCCGGGCCCCTCTTCTGGCCTCAGCAAAAACTACCCTTGGTCTGCTCGGGGCCCTTGCGAGTACCAGGCCCTCTTTTAGGCATTGTGGGTCCCTAACGAATACAAGGCCCCCGACCAGTGTAAATCACTGGCCCCGGCTTTATAGCTGATTGGGAAATGGGTCCTCAGGCCCATACCGACACGAGGCCGACTATGTGGCACGGTGGTACCTGATCGACATACAGGCCCATGTCGACTCAGGGGGGTCCCCGATCGGTGCAGAGGGCCCTCTGACCGTTATTTGAGGGTCTGTCTTGGCAGGTCTGGACCCTTGAATAAGACTCTGACCAGCCATTTATGTCTTTAGACTCTTCAATGGGGCCCTTGATCGTCGGACCGGGTGGGCCCTCTAGGTTCTTCGGGCCTGCTCGAGCACTGCATCTGGCTGACTAGGGAACCCTTGACAACACAGGGCCCCTGTTGGGCGCTGTGGGGCCCCGAGCAATGCAAATCGCTGGCTCCGGCTTTGTCCCTGCTTGGGACAAAGCTGGAGCCATGACCCTTAGGCCCTTAGGCCCATGTTGCCACATAGCCAGGTGTGCGTTACTGGTGGCGTCTGACCAAAATAAAGACCCTTATCGACTTAGTGGGCCTCTGATCAGCGCGCAGGGCGCTTTGGCTGGCATTTGAGTGCCCGGCCATTGAATGAGAGCTCTGACTGGCTTTTCGGGCCCTTCGGGCCCGCAAATAGGACTCTTAATCGTTCCGAGGGGTCCGAAGTGCCCCTCGGAACCTAAAAGGGCAAGTGCGCCTGTGTTCCGCCCCCCCCCCCACGCCTGCGCTACCGGCCGGTTGTCCTTTGAAATAATCGACTCTTGGTGTCGTAACTACAGAGCCTGGTAGACCATCTCTTGGTCGCATGCGTCAGGTAATATCTTGTCCAGCACTATTCATCAGCTGTTGCAACAGTTGCGACAGATGACGAAAGCTGCGTGTGTGTGACAATTATCTGCCCGATACCACCATCTAACGACCACTGCTGTCCCGGTACAGATTTGGCGGCGCCGGTATTCCCCATGTGTAGAGTCCTGGAGGATACGAACCGTATTACAGGGGAAATTTAGTTGGTGAGTTACCAGATGGTTTTGCGAATTATACACGTGTCCCAACAACCTTTGGACCAAAATACGTGTGTAAATAGCAGTACAACTTGGCGTCTGCTGCCAAAGGCCCGACACTGGCCTTTGAGATGATCTTCGTGAGTTTTGCCTGCCGTTATTGCATGTGAGCATCAAGCTCAATATGGGTTGAATCGTGCCGAATTTTGAGCAGGTGCTGCTAAAATATTTTGGTTACTTTGCATGTTTTGCCATAAACATTTAAAGCATGATAATTATCTCAAAGCATTAGATGGTGATGTGCCAATACAAGTGACTCTGTGTTTTAAACACAGAATTTGTGAATTTATTGTGTCAATTTTGTACCTTGAAATATTCAGCATGTCACTGTTATGCTGTAAATCTTTATCATGACTGGATGTGTTCACAGTCTGGCCATATTAGATCCATTTTTCAAAATAATTATGACAATTGTCTGTATGACCATTTGCTGTTCATGCAACCTTGAATGTGAGATAATCATCAATTGTGACAATTTTTGCTGAATGCCGTGCTCCCCTTAAAAATCCTGGCTGTCTCCCTGTCCCTGGCAGGACCTGTGTTCACATGCCAGTATGCATCACAATCCCCCTGTCCTTTTATGACAGGTTCTAAAACCAAGGTCTTTGACTCTTGACGCTATGTTTGTGATCCTTGTGCTTTCAACCAGCAATCCTTCATGCTGCCCCAGCCTTGCCACAATTCACTCATGTGCACACCAGAACCGGTATAAACTCGGCTGTTTTTTATCTTGTGTTGAAACTGTTGTCCCCAGGAATCTGTGTGCATTGTCAGGCCCAGGGGCAATACATAACCACTTAGGTGTGCATATCAGGCCACTTGCATGTAGGTGAAGGGTTCCAAGAGATTCCACTTCCAGCTTTTGAACATGCCATATTAAATGTGCTCCTTTCCAGACACTGTAAACATGGACTTTGATGAGGTGGATGCAGGCCTATTTCTAGGTAAGCCCTATTTCTAGGCAAGCATATGTGGCATCCAAGTCTGGAATGTGCAAAGGTCGCTCTTTGGTGTAAAGTACAGCGTTTGCCAATGAAGGATAATTTTTTTGCAGACTGTGCCAAACCTACTGCAGCATTTTTGCTAGCTGTGAGACATAATAGTTAGCTACAGGCTGCTGCATTAACATGTAAAATTTTTGTGCAGGTAACAACAGCTTAATATCACAAGGTTATGCCTTCTCTGTTCAGCTTTTGGACATACTGTGCTTTGGTATGACACAGTGGAGCTATACTGTAATCTTTGAGCCCTGATAGTGGCACATGCTCTTTTTCTCGACTTCAGGGAAGACCTGAACGGGTTATTGAGATTTTTGAACTAACAGTCATATATCCAGCATAGAAAAACTGTGTTTTTGGTGTCTCTCTCTCTGATAATTTTTTCTCTACTTCTTCCTGCTTGTATTCTGTTCTGGCAGGAAGCAGAAGAGCCCTGAAGTCCTTTCTGTCCTCTCAAAGTGGTGTCACGCTGTCTGTCCTGACAGTGGAGAGTGAGGACCTCACTGAAGTCCTGCAGGAAGTGAATCAACACTTGTTTGTCCAAGGTACACCATGATATCTACTTGTAGGGCTGGCATACTTGTAGGGCAGCATGCACTGGCATAATACTGCAGGTATTTCACATTGCAAAAATGATTAGGCATGAAGACATTAAGCCTTGAGCCATTGGTGCACAGAAACATGCCATGATTGCACAAAGGAAATATTGAAACCATTTTCACCATACCACCGTTGCAGTGTGTGCCAGTATTGGTCTGAATTGTGCTCTCTGAGGTGATATTCGTGATGCGACTCTGGTGGCTAGGAATATACCTGTCCACAGAAATTAACTTCAGACTTGCTTGAGTTGGGATGAGGGAACCTGCCCGCCCTCACAATAGCATGGGTGGAACTGGCAAACAGTGCCACCTGCCTGTGGCTGCATGGGCCATTCAGGCTGCTGGGGTGTTTGCTTTCAGTGGATGACGTGAAAGATGGCGACCTGCTGTCTCACTTTGATGATATGCTCGCCTTCATTGAAGACGGACTGCGCGACGGCGTAGTTTACGTCCACTGGTAAGCTGCTCATCTTTGTAAATATATTTTATGTGTTGTAGTGGCATTAACATCGGATACAGAACATTGACGAATGGAGGAACGGTGCTGTCACAAGTGGTCAGCCACTCATGGGTCAAGTGTTCCACGCTCGCTCCCGCCTCTACCGCGTAAGACTGCTGTGACGCCCCGGGATTACCTCGGACGCCGCCCGATGCCTGGCGCCATCTGTGCTGACCTCCGTCCCCGCCCGGGGCAGCCGACACGGCGTGTCCCGCAGCGCGGCCGTCTGCGCCGCCTTCCTGATGCGGCGGTACGGCCTCGACCCCGGCCAGGCGGTGGACAGGTCAGTGCCGCCGCCGGTCCGGATGACGAAGCGGCTCGGGCGACGTCAGTGGCGTGCCCACAACGCTGTGAGAGGCCGTGGAGTTTGCTGGAGGCGGCTGAGGAAGTGGTGCGCCGCCGGCTTCCGGTGCCGTGTCGGCACGTTCTGCCGCTGTCTGTGGGCTGTTCGGTCGTCCTACCGCCACCCATCAGTGTCAGTGACACGAGGGCCGTCCTGCCGCCGTCTGTCAGTGTCAGTAACACGCTGGCCGTCCTGTCGCCGTCTGTCGGTGTCAGTGACACGATGGCCGTCCTACCGCCGCCTGTCAGTGCCAGTAACACGATGACCGTCCTACCGCTGCCTGTCCGTGTCAGTGACACGCTGGCCGTCCTACCGCCGGCCGTCGGTGATGCTGCGGCCGTGCCGACAGGCTGCGCCTGTCTGAGTCAGTGACACGCTGGCCGTCTTGCTGCCGTCTGTCGGTGTCAGTGACACGCTGGCCGTCCTGCCGCCGGCCGTCGGTGATGCTGCGGCCGTGCCGACAGACTGCGCCTGTCTCGGCCGTTCGTGACGCCGAACGCCGGCTTCATGCAGCAGCTGGAGCTGTACGCGCGGCTCGGCTGCCGCGGCAGCCTGCAAAAGCCCATCTACCGACGTTACCGGCTGGGCGTGGCTGGCCGAGCCGCGGCCGCAGGTCAGCGGCGTCGCCCAGCCATGCGCGACAAATTCTGCCGGGAAAGAGCCGTGACCCGTCCGGGGTCGCCGCCAATGTGACCCATGATCTATACCTGTGAATTGTGGTCTGCGGTCCGTCCTATGTGCTGCATAACTGACTGCGGCTGGCTTCTTCTGATAAATGATTACTGAATGTCTGTACTGTCCTCGGGTAATGATTACCAAGTCATGATTACTGAATGTCTGTACTGTGCTGGGGGCGTAATGACCATGTGGGTATCACCTTGGACACCTACGTGGGTAGCCCGGGTTTGAATCTCAGTCGCGCTATGGCCTCGGAGCGTTGATATGGCCAGTGCAGTTGCTGGTGCTCCATAAAAGGGGCGTGACGACTCCGAGTCTGAAGTCCGGAGTCCCGAGTTCCGAGTCCCAAGTCCCGAGTACGAGTCCTGAGTCCTGAGTCCTGAGTCCTGAGTCCTGACTGCGAGAGAGCGCGTCGCGTCATGTTCTACAATGGTAGCTGCTGACTGCCTACTGCTAGTGCTCTCCACTGTGTGAATGTGATCAACGGTCTCGGACCAGCCAGCCGCCCATCTCACGAAGGGCACCGTCCTCCGCGTCACGCCGGTGCCTCTGCGCCGGCCGCTGGCGCGAGTGATCAGCGCCACGCCGTGCCGGCAGACCCGGCCAGCCAGTCGGCGCTGGTGACGCCGCTCGTCCTGCCCGACCCCGACATGGCCGGCGCTGTTGCTGCTGTCTATAGGTGTCGCCAGTGTCGCACGGCACTCTTCTCGCAGCTGAGCGTCGTCGACGGCCAGGACGTCGAGGTCAGGACAGAATGATTACCCCCGGTCTGTTGTGCTGTGGTCGTCCGCACGTTGCAGACCCAGCTGACGCGCTGTAGCGTAAAAATACGCTTTTCTTGTGTGGTTGCAGCATCATGAAGCACGATTCGTTTCGTTCATATGGCGCTGCGGCACGATTCGTTTGCCTCACTCTGTTTGCGGAGCCATGTTTAAGTCTGGCGCCGTTTTGACTGTGTGCGGCCACCGGGCCAGCGTGAGGCAGCGTGTCCCCACTAGAGGACGCTCATGGTCCTGGACGGCCCGGTCGTTCCAGAAGCCAGACTCAGGCGGCGACGGCAGTCTGCGGGTGCTGCCGCTGCCCTGGATGGCCGGCGTGGCGGGTCAGCCGAACGGCAGGCTCAAGTGTCACAAGTGCTCCTGCAAGCTCGGCGCCTTCTCGTGGGCGCCAGGTAACCGGGCGACCGCGGCTCCGGTGGCAGACCTGGTCCCACGTCAGAGCCCGACACACTCCCGACAACTCAACAACTGCTCCGACGACTCGGTGCTCATTGCTTTGTACGGACGGTGTTACGCGCAATTTCATGTGTTATTCTCTTTCCTCTCCGCATCATTTTAGTCCGTTACAGCTGGTGGCAAAACAAAACGCATAGGTAGTACCGCAGTCCCACCTGATCTGAGTTCTCACAGAATGTGGCCTCTCGGCTCTCTGTCAATCCCAGGACAGGCAAACGGACACCGCGAATCAAATGTTTTCTGAGCGCAAATTTATTTTATGTGAAAGCGAGTCTGCATTCGCCATTTAGCGGGGCCGCTATGTTGTCCCTTGAGTTGCATCAGGTTCCCCGCACAACAAAACGCATTTCTTTAAGTCACAGGTTTTTCTGTAATACAGAGATTTAACAAGCCCAGAAAATGAATTCAATTGCCATGCAATAATGTTTGTGACAGTAAAATGAGATCCTTTGAGGCATCTTTGTCAAATGTTACCGTACGATAGATACAACTGAATGCCTGTCATTGTTAAGAACCGCGCTATGGTTAAAGCTGTGGTTTTTTCAAGATCCAATCCAAACCTTTTGAATGGATAGACTTTGGGGACCAGCGCTCACGCCCAGCAGTGTTTGTTGTGCGAGTTGCGTGACTCACGCAACAAGTTCGCCTGCCTTCCGAGCGCCTTCCTTCCGATCGTGGATTGGAAGGCAGGCGAAGGAAGGACGGTTGACGAACTAGCGGACCGTGTCGCACTGACGGACCGTGTCGCACTAATGGACCGTGTCGCACGCGGACCCAAAAGACAACAATCTGACGCTGGGACCTAAGCCCAAACTTTCGAAATATTAGCGCCGGCAGGCAAGACTATTTTGTTGACGGCTGACGTACAGACCCTTTGGATGTTAGCGATTTATTTGCATTCAGACTGTTGTTATGTAGACTGCTGGTTTACAGACCAAGCCGCATATCGGGTTTGCAAGGTATATTAGGAGACAAATAAGTGGCCCAGGCTTGGAGACTTTCTGTCAATGCCGATGTAAATGGCGTAGAAGGCGTATCGCAATAATAAGTGACATATAAAAGGCGTACAACAAAATTCCAGAACTTTTTTTAAGCGGTTTGAAACTTTGGCCTTGCAACCGGAGGGGCTCCATCCAGTCGCTGCTTGTACAGGGTGCGAGCCGACGCCGGGCCTGCGTTCAGCGTGACAGCGCCGCCTGCGCCGCTGGTGGTGCTCCTCCACGCGTGCTGATGGGAGTGGCCAACCAACACGAGCAAACCGGCGCTTGTGGTGTTTCAGAGCCGCAGCCGGCGCTGCTGGGGCTGCCCGAGCCGTCGTTCCGGGTCACACGGTCCCGCGTGGACCGCTGCCTTCCTCGAAGCGCGACCTCGTGACGGCGGCTGGGCGTCGGATACAGTGTCGGTGTCAGCGTCGGCGCTCCCGATTAAGACGTGAAAGTGGAGGAGCCTTACTTGTTAGCTTGGGAAATACAGACCTTGCTTTGGAACACGCATTGACTTAGTGTTGATCGCATTGAATCGAACAAGCCATCTCGAACAGATTTTCAAGAATAGGAAGCGTTGACCCGCCGCTTTGGTTGGTGAACATGCGACAGACCTCCCCATATTAGCTCATCCGTGACGGCGACCCGAGCATCCTTAGGCGTGGCGCACGAGGCGCGCTACGACACCGATCGCGCAGCGCTTCGTCACTGGAGCCAACTGGAGGCATGTCCGTAATTATGGTGTCCGTCCCGTGATATCTCAACATGCTCGCAGCACGGAGCATCCTGCATTTCGCGGGATTCCTTGCGAACCACTTGCTGGGTGATGATGTGTGGTGTGATGCTCGTGGCACAGATTTACAGCCTGGAAGCCGTACTGACCGGGCTTCCTTAAGTAACCTCCCTCGGCGAGCATTTAACCTTCCTGCGACCGCAGTGCTCGCCCGCGCAGTGTCCCTCGCGACCATTAGCAGCACAACTGCCACTGCCTCGTGCGACGCCGCGTCCGGGGCAGTCGGGTGACGGCCTCCAACACGGGGTCCCATCGGAGACAAGGGCGCCGGTGGTCAGTGCACCGCCCGGAGTGCAGCGAACGTCACCCCGGCGGCTCCAGGGCAGAGGCGGTCCGGTCAGACCTGTGTATCCCACGAGGTCTTCCGGTAAGGGCTCACAACGCCGCTCGGCGCGGGGCAGCGATCGCGGCGCGTCTGCAGCGCACAGAGAGGAGCGCTGAGCGCCGGGCGCGGGCGGACGCAGGCCATCAGACCTCCGCCGCCAGCCGCACTAGCACAGTGCGCCGCCCACGGACTGCGAACCGACCATGACCGCAAAGCAGTGCAATTCTATGTACGTTTGTACAAAACGTGGACACATTTATTAGGGCACGTACAATACAGTACATATTGAGTATACACCATACAAAACGGGGCTGGGGCCGAGAACGTAACAGCGTCCGCGCCCCCCAGAAATCACAATTTGAACAAAAACCTCGCGGCCGCGGCGCGTAGCCCCGCCGCGTTGCCAGCGCCCGGCGCAATCTGTTTCTAGCGTCGCGTTCCGCCCCGTCCAATGCACGCGCAGGATGCCCAAAACTTAATATCCGTGCGTGAGAACATCGCAAACATCCAGCCGGCTGCTGTGAGGAAACGAACGGGCCGTCGCTGACGCGTCGTCGGTGCAAATGAAGAGGGCGCTGCGGTCGGCGGGGCGACGCCGCCGGTCGGCGCGCTCCGACCCCTATTTACACCCCGGCGCCGGCTCGGCCGCCCCACCGCCGCTCGAGGCGAGATTCTCGCACCAGTAGTCGCCCGGCCCGCCGTGTCAGCGCGCCCACTGGCGGCGCCCAGTGGGCGGGACGCGATTTGGGTGACTGCCGTTCTGCCGGAGCGCGTCCCCGTCCGACGAGCAGGTCACATGCAGAGCCGCAGCCCGGTGGACGGCATGCGTGTCAGGTCAGGTCGCGGCCGGGTCATCTGGACGCGTGTGGGACCACCGTCCAGTGGACAGGACCCGTGCCGGGCTGCCGCCCGGTAGACGGGCCCGTGCCAGACCACCGTCCAGTGGACGGGACCCGTGCCGGGCTGCCGTCCGGTGGACAGGCAGGTCGCCTCTCCGGCCCGCGTCATAATATCAGGGCGCAGCCGACCGCCGGCGTTCGCTCGCCAACGATCACACGCACTCCACGCCAGCTCTGAAACAGGCCAGGGGCAGCATATAGCAGCGGCCAACAGACCAGACCAGACCCACCGACAGCATGTGGCAGCAGGACCGGACGCTGGGTGACGTGCTGCAGGCAGACCCGACTCTCGGCCGCCGGAGCCAATACGTCGGCCAACGCTCAACAATAGGCCGACCTGGAGCACAAAAAATTCACCCAGGGACTGAAATTGAAGGGGAGACAATGGCGCACAAAAGGCAATTGTTCTCCGCTCGCGAAACGATGACAGGAGAAATGGGTTGTGTTTGGGTGCGCTCCGAGATTGCGTGGGAGAACCGCAGAAAAGCGCAGACCGACTGGTGATGCAGACCCTCGGCCACCGACAGACCAGCGGCTCCTATCATCCGACGGCCTGGGCTGATCAGGCGGATCCGGGCCACGGTCTGCTTCGGCGGGGCCGGGCGCGGGGGAGGGGGGGGGGGGGGGGGACAGCCCGGCCCTGACGTGACCGGCCGCGCCGCCGCCATCGCGCTCCGTCTAATTTACAGGCGGCCCCCCGTGGCGCACTGCTCCCCGCTGCGACCCGCCGGCTGCACGGATAATGAACATTTACCTGGAAGGCGGCACAACAGCGCGCGAGCGGGCGGCCGCGTGTTTTTGTGGCCGCGGCGTCCCGCGCTCCGCCCGGGCCGCGCGGTCCGGCCGAGCGACCGACCATCGAGCGGGCCGACCGCCGGCCGCCGGACCGCCGGATTCGATGATGGATCGCGCGCCGGCCCGTGATGAATGTGCCGGCGGGCGGCGACGTTCGCACGTCCAGCGGTGCGGGGCGCGCCGAGCGGTTAGCGGCCGGCGGCGCGCTGTCACCGGCCGAGCGTGCTGCCGGGCGGCGCGCCCGCACCGGACCGGACCAGACCGGACCGGACCGCCGGCCGGCGCTGATGGGGCTCTTTAAATGCGCGCCGCGCCGGCGGCCGGACACGCTCGCTGGACGTGGCATTCGGTTTCGGCGTGCTCGATCCCGACGGCGGTCCGGCCGCATACCTAATGCGGCGCGACCTGCCCTCGCGGCGCGGCGCGGCCGCCGCCCGCCCGGCGACGGCCGCCAGTGGCCGTGTTTGGGCGTCCGGCGGGGTCGCGTGTTGCCTCACCCCGTGTCAGCGAGCGACGCATGGCCGGAGCCCAGCGGGGCCCGGCGGGAGCTCCCGTGGCCCGGCAGTCCACATGAACAGGGAGGGTTGAAACATCTCACGGAGGACAAATAAATCCCGTAACAAACCGTTTGAACGTAACTACTCCACTTTTCTGGCTGCACATCAGAAATGCAAACTCTACCATGCACTGGCCTTTGGTCCACGACCACTTTCTCCAGGAGCGCACTGTTTCCAAACGTCAGCGGACGCCTACGACCCAGCCGCAACACTCACCTCACAAAACACGGCCTCGTTAGTACCCTAGTCCCGGTTGCGAGTCGGAATAGCTGCTCTGCAAACAGAGATATTGACGATCGTCAGAACAACACGTTTGAAAAGCAATTGCTGGTCATTGTCCAACGCTGGGTTCGGAGAAGTAAACATCATGCTCCGAAAATCGCGTGAAAACATGCCCGATAACAGTAAGAAAATGCCAATACAACTCCGCATGGCCACAGTCCAGCAGTCTTTATCGCTATCACGTGTCGAACGCCACTCAAACTGAGCTGGTTGTTCCACACGACTTGGTTGGCGCCGGTGGCACTCACCTGGCTCTGACTGTTGTACTGGGCGCCGTTCATGGACATGTTGTAGCCCATGTCGGCAGGGGGTGGCGACATCATGGGGCCGGGCGTGCCGGCTCCAACGCTGTAAGGGGACGAGCCTGCGGCACAGTGGACGGGCCAGAAGTCAGAGGCCATGGGGCGGAGGCTCTGACTCCAACACAGTAGGGGGATGAACTGTGGAATAGTAGACGGCGACATAATCACAGTCCAGTGGCAACCAGGTAAGCCGGCGTTCAGGATGCTGAGAAAGTGTGGTGCAGTGCACCAGCCGTGATATACACAAACAACGGGAGCGTATTTAAATGACGTCCACCAAACTGAAAGCTAGTCTGGCCACTGAGATCAGCTTCTCAATTTTCACCTACAGCTGGAAACGCTCATACACGGGCTCGGCCGGGCAGTGGCCAGCCCGCATCGCTCAGCGCGCGAGGCAAACAAATGGTGCCAGGTGTCCTGCCGCCGTCGCCGCGGCGCCAACACTCAGAGGCGTATAGGTGGGAACTGAGGTCAGCCAGAGGTCGAAAGTCCCTTCTTTGCACAGGCTTACAAAAAACGGGACTATGCGTTGAGCGGTACTCTCGCATGCGTCATAAAGCCTGCATTCTGTATTCCACGAGCGGCGGTCCGACGCCATATCCAGGAACTGATCCACTCGGCGGATCAGCGATGCGTCCCCGGAGGGGTCCAGTAGGTCACATAAATTCCCACAATTTTACACGATGGTGTACTGGTATGAGCTCGACCTAACTGTTATAGCATGGATAAACTGCGAATGAATCGTGTCGGCCCAGTGGCATCGAGTCCACAGTTGGGAGTCTACTTGAATCGATGCAGCCGTTGGTCGGACTCTTCCCTCTGCATCTTCCGAGAACATCCTAACTTACTCTCAAGCACAATGCGTTTAATCAGCCGAGCTGCAAGTCACATATTTGGAACTGCCTCCTGTCGGCCACGTCAATAGCACCTACATACACGCGATCTTCCCCTTGGGCGCAAGCCAAACGTCAATGTAAAACACTTAGAACATGGAGATGAGAGCCGAGAGTGGTCCCCGAGAAAACATCAGACCCACGAATGCATTCTTCGACAACAGAACCGTCCATGTCTTCGGCGCGTTTCTTGCAACGGGGAGGCCCAAATCCCCTTCTGACTGAGAAAGAGTCGCCACACCGCGGCACAGAATAGTCACCACACCGAGAGGAGACCCCAGCGCGACCATATCCCAGATGTCGCGAAGATCTGCTACTGCCGCGCCGCTACCCGGCCGGAGGCTGCCCGATCCGTCGCGTTGAACCCCGGGACCGGTCAGCGGTCGTCGCAGGCGGCGCCCGGGCGCGACCCGCCGGCGGTGGACGGTCCGCGGCAGACGCGGCGCGCGCCGAGAAATGGCGGCCGGCTGACGAACGTCGGCCGTGCGCAATAACGGTGAGGCCGGGGCACGCCGCGCCGCGTCTGCCGACGGCCGGCGCCGGCGCCGGCCACCAGGCGCGCCACGTCCGTTCTCCCTCCTCCCGCGCTAAGAGCGACTGCCGGCGACGGAGACAGGGGGCCGACGGAGGCCGGCCACGCGGACTTTGATTGTGGCCCGTCCATCCGCCAGCCAACAGGTACGCCATGACTCCGACCCGGGCGCGACACCGGGAGACATGACTCCGACCCGGGCGCGACATCGGACGATGTGGCTCCGAGCCGGGCGCGACACCGGGAGACATGACTCCGACCCGGGCGCGACATCGGACGACATGACGCTGACCCGACCACGACACCGGTTTTCGATGCTGTCAGATTACCCACCGCCCTTGCCCCGGCATGATCTTCCCTGATGATATTCCGATTGAATACCAACATCAGTGCCTACTATCGGCGGGGCGTCGCGCGCCCTCTCGCGCCCGAGCCGATAGCGTGCCGGGACAGCAGTCTGGGCGCACCAAAAGGCCTTCACCGGCTGGGTTAACGTCATGGGACCCGTAAAGGATGGATAGCGGACTGCATTTGGTACGGACCTGTAGAAAATCACGGATAAGGTGCGGTTGATGTACGGTACAACGGTAAGGGTATGAATTTATGGGAATACCGGGTGTACATTTCAGGAGATGCCAGGCAATGACTGCTGTCTTCATTTTTTCAGTCACGGTGCATTCCACGGATACCAGTGTTACGACTGTCAAACAAAGGGTTCTGCTCACAAAGTTCTTGATCCCATCTACAACTTTGAACCAAAGCTTTACACGACAAAAACGAATGACTAACGGGAAGGTATCACTGATGAGGAATTTGTAGCGTGTAGCGGGTCGTTATGCTCACATAAGGGAACGGGTCGATTGGAAAGATAGTCCTATCCGTACAGGCCTCTAGGCCAACTCCTAACCCCTTCCTCCTCCAAGCCATCGGCAGGCCAATGCGTCCCCCCCCCCCGTCCCACTCATCGTCCACTCTCCGGATGCTATCAGCGGCCGAGGCCGACCACAATATCAATGACGTCATAAATCGCTACTCGAAGTAATTAAAAGCCGCGTCTTGACACGGCTGCGAGAAGCGACGTCGTAACTCTCCGGCCGGCCCGGCTCGGCGCGCCAGGCCGAGCACAGGGCCCGGCTGGTGGCACAGACGGCCGGACAGGACAGGACAGGGCAGCCGACAAGACAGAGCAGCCGACAGGACAGGGCAGCCGACAGGGCAGAGCAGAGGACAGGACAGAGCAGAGGACAAGACAGAGCAGAGGACAGGGCAGGACAGGACAGCCGACAGGACAGCCGACAGGACAGGGCAGCCGACAGGACAGGGCAGCCGACAGGACAGGGCAGCCGACAGGACAGGACCGCCGACAGGACAGCCGACAGGGCAGGGTAGAGGACAGGACAAGACGGCGGACAACACAAGACAGAGGACGGGGCGAGACATGGCGTCAAAGCAGGCACAGTGAGACAGGATGGCCGGCTGGCGACATCGAATCGAGCGTGTGAAGCAGGACAGGGAGGAGACACAGCAGGACAGATTAGCCGGGGCCGGGCGCGTGACGGGGCGGCGGACGATGTGGCACGACGCGATCAGTGCAGACCAGATCAGGACGGCTCGGACGGAGGACAGGGGTCGTGGAAGCTAAAGCGGACAGATGTCACACCGGACGGAGCGCCATCCGCACCACCCCCTCAGCAGAAAACGTCGGAGTGCCCTCTGCTCCCGCGTCCAGGCGACGCCGGACGAGTCTGCCAACTTAGGCTCGGATAGCCAAAGAACCCCAGCAGTCTGTCCCAGCAGCGTCAGACGAAGGGCGTTGTGCTGCGGTCCCCCCGGCGTGAACGACACAGGTGTGGCGGGTGCCGGCAGCGACGGGACGGGTGTGGAGGGGGAGGGGGGGGGGGGGAGAGGGCACGGGGGTGTGCCTGGCTGGCGGCAGGGTGCCCACTGGCCGGTACAGCACGGAGGGGCGGGGCGGGCCGCGGCCGGTGCAGCGGTCAGCACCAGCCGGCGCGCCGCCCCCGCTGCAGCCGCTGACTCCGCCCCCCAGCAGCGGCCATGCTGGGCCCGCCGCGCCGTCACACGCACGGGAACAGGCGCGACGACGGCGCCGGCGACCACAACACAGCGACGCCACCGCCGCCGCCGCCGACTGCACGTACCTGACACGCTCCCGGCCCCGCGCTGCCCCGGGGCGGTCGCAGCCACGGCCGACGTACCTGAGTTTGCCGCCTTCTTCGCTGCGTACAAGTTGGCCTCCTCTTGGGCTTTGGTGATGTTCTTCTTATATCTGATCCTTTTGTTGCCAAACCAATTCGACACCTGACAAAATACGAAAGTCTCGGTGACTAACCTGCCGCTTTCTTTGCTGCGTATAAGTTGGCTTCCTCTTGAGCCTTGCCGATGTTCTTCTTATATCTTATCCTTTTGTTCCCGAACCAATTGCATACCTGACAAAGTTCGGTACGGCTCAAACACATGCGTCCAACGCACGGCACACTCGGACGCCACGCTTCTGGAAGCATGCGAAAGCCGCAGCCCGGAAGCCGGCAGCTTTTCACGAAGCAGCCGCTCGGGATTCGCATCGGTCCATACCATTCGCGACGTCAATCGAACATCTCAGGACATTACGGACAAGAGCGGCCTCGTTAAGCCGGCTGAAGGCCCGCCGAACGGCGCCGTCGCGGCCCGGGGTCGCCTCCGGTCGGCCGGCGTCCTGGCCGGCCGAAACAAAGCCGGCCGACGGGCCCGACAGAGCCCAGGCCGCGGCCGGCCGGCATCGCTGAGCGGCCGCCGTCCGCTCCGGGCCGCGACACACTCGGCCATTATCAAAAATTGGCCGGCCACCGTACCGGCTAATGGACATTATGATTCGCTAACCAGCCAGAAATCGAAATTTCCGCTGACCGCGTCGGACCGGTTGCTTCGGCGGGCAATTGTTCAAGTTGCGGCGGCCGTTTCTGGGAGCGGGCGGCGCCGCCCGGCCGGCCAGCGTACACGGAATCCATTAGGACGGAACGGTCGGGCGTGCGTCAGCCGCTCCGCTCCCGACGCCGGCTAGCGACGAGCCGCATTAGTAGGATTACAGCGGGTCCGGCCGCCGCTGACGAGCCACTGAACGGTCGTGGCTCGGTCCGACCGCCGGCGTCTGCCCCCTGCCCCCACCGCCACCCGCCCATCCTCCCCTCTCCAGATCCCGAGTCCGGGAGGCCAACGGGGACTGACACTTCCCTGAAAGAGGCGAGGTTTGTGGGCCGACTTCGCCGTCCCGACAATGACAAGTGTGCCGTGTGGTTGTAACGACACACAGCCTCACTGAACAAGCCAGCGCGGCTGGCTGATTGAGCCCTGGACACGGGCACCGGAGGCGCGAGAGGGATTATCGGCCCAGCCCTACACCAACCCGCCAGGGGGCGGCCTGCGCGCCATAAAACACCCCACAAGGGTACCGGTGTCCTCGTCCGGGACAGAATGGCTATCTCCACAAAGGTGACAGTGACGAATGAGATCCCAAGAGCCCGGTACAGTCCGGGGCGGCGACAGTGGGGCGTCGACCTCTTCCCGCTTGCTTCACGGATACGCGGCCAGCAAGTCATTCTGCCGCGAGGCAAGCGGCTGTGTGGGTCGAACAGCTATGGCTGCTCTGTACGTAACGCGGCACCTGCAGGCCTGTTACGGTCGGTATTTCTAATTTTGGTGAAACAAACAGCTCGAGAACCTTTACGCTTGTGGTGTGCGGGAAAATATAAGTTACAGGCGTTTTATTTCAAATATGATTTCACTCCACGCCGAATGCACGCCTTCCCTGGCCGGTGGAGGACAGGAACACAATAGGCAAATACACGCGCCGTCATGCATTTTGTCCTCAAACCCCTCCAAAACGCGACCTGCACGGCCACACGTACCCCTCACGCGATGCTGACAACCGTACGTGAGTCGCAACACGCGGCCACCGTTCTGATGCCGCTTGCGTACATCACTTACCAATGAGATGACTGACTGAGCGACCCGGCGCAATTTCACTCTGGGCACCTCCCTCGAGACACCACAACTAACAGTGTGTCATGCACACTGAATCCTAACAGGGAGCTTCCAGGTAGCGCGCGCGGCGACCGGACGCGTGTGATAATGTGTACAGCGGGAACATAAATCAAGCTATCACATAAATTTACAGGACAAAATTATCATAAGCCGGGCAGTTAAATTCACCCTGCGGCACATTGTCGAATATAGTCAAATCAAAGCGCGTACTGACGACTTACGACCCCGTGTACCTATTGGAACAGCCCCCCCCCCCCCCCCAACTAAAAGGCAACCGCCTTGATGCCGGCGTGCCTCCACCTAACGGTTGCGATGTACTGTGTGCAGCGCACGGGATCATACCTGGGACACAGTGATATTACACTTTCTGGCCAGTTCCTCTTTGACCTCCTCCGTGGGGTAGGGGTTGCTCAGGTTGGCGTAGAAATACTCATTTAGCACTTCGGTAGCGGTTTTGGTAAAGTTTCGCCTCTTTCGCCTGCAAACAAACGAACAAACTTAGCGCCAGGGGAGAGCGAGAGAAAGAGAGAGAAAAAGAAAAGAGACCGTCGGACTGGCAGGCGGAGCTGGCATGGCCGGGGCTGGCATGGCCAGGGCGGGATGGACTTCGGCGCGGTCTCGGAGAGGACTGAGGACCCGGCGCGGCAGACGGCGGCGAGCGAGGCGCGACCTGAAGCGGTGCCCGTCTCGAGCGGAGCCCCGGCCCCGGCGGAGGTCAAGGGACGCGGCGGCCGGCCGGTGACCAGAGGTGGCGCCTCGCCCTCTCTCTCTACCTGACTGACGGTTATGCCACACTTTTTGGCCAGCTGCTCCTTCACCTCCTCTGTTGGGTACGGATTGGCCAGGTGGCTGTAGAAGTACTCGCTCAGGATTTCTGTGGACTGCTTGGTGAAGTTGCGCCGCCGCCGCCTGCAAGAGGGACAGACCACGAGCCCCGCTCAGGTGCGGGCGGGTCAGATTAGAGGGGCCCGGCGCCGCCGCCAGCCACACACCTGCGACACCGTTATGCTGCACTGCTTCGCCAATTCCTCTTTGGTCTCGTCCGACGGGTACGGATTGTTCAAATTCGAGTAGAAATACCCGTTGAGGATCTCGGCAGCCTGGTTACTAAAGTTCTTCCGCTTTCGCCTGAAGGCGTGAGAACATCGGTGGTGTAAACGTGCAAGCGATGCATGAGCGACGAGCAGCAAAGATGCGAGACGGCCGGAGAATGGGCATTTCTGGCGGAGCGGGACAGCGGAAATGGGACTTCTAACGGACCGGGAGAGCAGAAACGGAGAGCTTCAGCGGGCAGGAAAGCCGGCGGTGCGAACATGCAGCCGGGCCGAGAAGCGGACTGGTACTAAACGACGGCGCAGACAGCCGCGCGGCCGCGGGGAGAGCAGCCGGTCACAGACGGGGCCGAGAAGCGGACTGGTACTAAACGACGGCACAGAAAGCCGCGCGGCGGCGGGGAGAGCGACCGGTCACAGACGGGGCCGAGCGCGGCGACTGGGGCGGGAGCCTGACGGACGTGGGGGACAGTGTCGTGCAGGGACCGGACCTTGGCCGCATCCGGGGCCGGTGGGACGCGGCCGCATCCAGTCACGTGCGACGGAGGACAAGCCGACGACGGCAGCCAGGTGCCACCGAAGTGTGCCGCGCCGCAGCGTAACAGGCACTGAGGCAGGACCACTCCAGGTGTGGAGCTCCCAGCTTCTCACCGGCCCGCCCACTCAAGTGCCGTGAAAGGTCACCAAACTGATGACCTTGGCTTCCGCACCGTCCATAAATCACCTGGTGGTTACCTCTAAGGTCACGTAGCGCTGCATAACTCACCAAATGCCCCGTCATCTACCTAAGGTCATAAACCGTTGTAAGATTCGCAAAATTGACCCGAGAAACATGCATGCAGACAAGGCGCGGTGAACATCGCAGCCCGGCATCTGTTATATTGGCTGCTCCCAGTCAACGACCCGAAGACGTCCAATATTGGAGCGCGCCCCTTACATCGAAACGCGGCCGGAATGCCCGTCAGACGCGCCCTCAATGACACACCGAGGCTGCGGGCAGGCCGGCGCGGGCCAAACGAAATGAAGGAGCGAGCGGAAACGGCCGCGGCCGGAGATATTCCTGGGTGGTCCGACACATGCGTAGAGCACTGAGGCCGCAAATCAAGGATACAACACGGCAGAGGACAAGGCGTTACGACACGGCAGGGGCGGCAGAGGGCCAGATGTTTCGGGCGCCCTGGGCAGCCCAGCCAAGACTGAGATGCGCGGAGTGGCGCGCCGCTCCGGAGGACCTTTCGGAGAGTGCAGCCGCGCATAGCTGCCATTCACGTCCCTGCGACCCTACATCCCGGCAAGAGACCCTAGGTAGCCACGAGAAGAGACCCTTAAAAGCCACGAGACGGCCAGGCCGCACGACGAAAGGCACGGCTCGGGGTACCTAACGGCGTCAGCAGCCGGTCACACATGGCTGAGACAGCACCGGCTGAGACAGCTGGATCACGGCTGCGGACTCCGGCCCGGCTGAGCAGGCGGCCCCGGCTGGATCACGGCTGCGGACTGCACCCCGGCCGAGCAGGCGGCGCCGGCTGGATCACGGCTGCGGACTGCAGTCCGGTTGGATAGGCGGCGCCGCAGTTCAAAGCCAGGCCCGGCCACGTTACAGTTAGGCTCAACTGTGAGCTGAAGCCGAACGGAAGCTCTCCCGCATTAATCATTGAAGAGCCGTATGACGCAGTTTACTTAAAGGGAATGTCTGACATTTGGAGATATTGCAGTAAGCATCAGACATGATGAACCAAGCTCGCTTTAGTATTGGTATACTCTTAAATAGAAAAGACCGCTCTAGGCAACACAATTTCTCTGTTGAGTAAATATGTTCCTCGAAACGTTATCATTCCATTACGTCATCGTACCTTGCACATCATTGAATTAGAGCCATTGACGGCCGTTACGTCAAGAAGTGCTCACGAACGCCAGACATGAATGACTCGACCATTATATTTTTCTCGGTCTTCATCGCCGCATGGCTGACGGAATAGTAGGACTTGAATGATGTTATGATGACCTCATGAAGGGCACGGTTACGGTGAAATACTCTCCCAGCAGTCTCCCCATTTCTGAGGGCGTATAGCTCAGAAACTAGAGGGGTTTAGGTCTAAGGAAAAACAGGGTTTTGCACTGCATCGAAAGGTCTTCCAAGATCGCTATTTCAGTTCAAAACCTATACAAGTGCTGAACACTTCCTTTAACCATACGCACAACGCTTGGTACATCACCCACAGAAACCCCGTTAGTCACAAGCCAGTCCCATCAGGAGTATCAGAAAGCATAGATAACTGCAGACACATAGAACCCAACCAGATGTAAGTTGTTAAACGCCAGAGTCATCCCATAGGCTACCTGCTGCTCCAGACCCTTGCAAACGCTGCCCACCACGGCAGAAACGTCGTATGACTTCATCGAAATCGGCTTCGACGTTCGAATCAGCAAAGCGGTGCGCCTCGTCCGCCGGCCGTTCCTGAGTCGAGACTGGCAGCGTGACGGACTGCTCGTGAGCGAATGCCCACACCGGGCATTCGCTCACGACGTCTGCCGAGGCACGACTTTGTCCGGAACGCGCCGCCTACAGAAACCGACGGTCACACGCAGCCTCGTCCGGTCAGCTGGCCGGGCTCCGCTGCACGGCAGACACCGGCGGGCCACACGGCAGACACCGACGGACCACACGGCAGACACCAGCGGACCGCACGGCAGACACCGACGGACCACACGGCAGACACCGGCGGGCCACACGGCAGACACCAGCGGACCGCACGGCGGACACCGGCGGGCCACACGGCAGACACCGGCGGGCCACACGGCAGACACCAGCGGACCGCACGGCAGACACCGGCGGGCCACACGGCAGACACCGGCGGGCCACACGGCAGACACCAGCGGACCGCACGGCAGACACCGGCGGGCCACACGGCAGACACCGGCGGACCGCACGGCAGACACCAGCGGACCGCACGGCAGACATCGGCGGACCACACGGCAGACACCGGCGGGCCACACGGCAGACACCAGCGGACCGCACGGCGGACACCGGCGGGCCACACGGCAGACACCGGCGGGCCACACGGCAGACACCGGCGGACCGCACGTGGGGACGCAGACGACCCGACTCTCTGGGACTGACGCTCCCGCTGACGGCATGTGTTCCCATCCTGTCCCCCGTTCGACATCCTACCCTGTCCCTGTGAGATAGTCAACCGCCGATCCTGGCCGCACGGGAATGCTCAGCTCGCGCTAGCGCTCACCGTTCGGCTGCTCGAGTCTGTGTTCTTGAGCGAGATGATCGAGGTAATGAGGACCATTAACCACCCTCTTCCCACGCTGATTTACGACCGCTTTTGGTTGAACGCACGTCGTTTTCTTTTGGACGTTTTTAGGCCGAATTAAAGTCAAGTTACTAACTGCGTACAGATAGTCATGCAAGGGACGGAAACACATTATGCGTGAGCGTATACGTGCAGCATAGATGCCACAGATGCCGACACGTAAAACTAGGAATTGGTTATGAGGTTACAAGTACGTTCTGCGTGGTCTTTCTTCCTTCCATGTACTTTATATCACATTTCAGTCAATATAACCACGTACACGCCTTAATCGCATGTACAGTGATCTTCGTTTCACCCCGATAGCCTCACAAATCACACACGTCAGCCGACCCTCTCTACCCACGCGTCAGTCGGCCAATGCCGGCCGTTTCCAGCGAGGCCGGTATTCTTCTCACCGACGCCGGCGGGATTGGGCGGCCGTCGCCGCCACCGCCGGTGTCGCCGCAGCCACCTCCGACCGCAAACGCTTAGCGGCCCGCCGCATGCCCCAATTAGCATTTGTCTAATCGCTTTTCAAAATTCGATAATTGCCCGGTCGGGCGGATTGCGGAGCAGAAGGCGCGTCATTAGGGTCCGGCCGCGCTCGTTAGGACGTGTTGGGGCGGCGGGCCGACCGAACTGCGCTGCCGCACGCGGCACGCAGCGGTCTGCCAGCGCCGCTTCCCTCTCGCTGCCGCGGCGCCGGAGCAGGCGGCGCCGGCCTCGCACCGGAGCAGGCGACCGCCGCCGGCCACCGCGCCGAACTTGGGCCGGCATGTTCCGAGTAGTCGGGCGCTTCGCACGGAAGTTCGGCGGTTCGTGACGGGGTAATTAAACGGGAAAGAGAAGTGGTCACCCAGGTCAGGAAGCCGCCGTGTGCTGGCGTTAATGGCGCGCTGGCGATGTCCCGGCGCTAAATGGCTTTCGTGTCGGACGTCAAACATTCCAAACTCGGAGCACTCTGGGCCCCGGCAGAGCCAGACATCCACCCACAATGGAATGGAGAAACATGCCGCCCCAAGTCGGCACCGACTGCACAGCTGCAAACGAACACAAGGCATGCTCGTAAGACTGTGTGCAATCACTACCGAACTGCAGCCTGCCGACGGGCGACGCCACGCAGGCAGAGGGAGGGACCGCTGACGACACCGCGGCAGTGAGGTGTCCAGGGAGTGGCTCAGCACTGCCGCTGACCGACGAGACAAACGGTCCCCGGCGGCGGCTCCGACCGGCAGCCGCGGCGGGACGGACTCGGCCAGTGGCGTAGACGGGCGGCAGCAGAATTCAGGACCGGCTCACCAGCGCCCGCCCGCCTCCACGGACGCACGCTGGCCAGTTTGCCGCGCCGCGCCACACGGTCCGGCGAGCGGCGTCGGCCGGGCGGTGACCCGAGGCACGGAGCCGGCGGCGGACACGGCCGGAGGCCACGGCCGGCATCGCTCTTTGCGTGAGGGCCAGAGTGGGCCGGGTCCGGCCGGCGGCGGCCCGTCGACCGGAGCTGACCCACCGGCCGTCCCGGCTCTCACGACGCGGCAAACACGGCCATTACGGCTGGCGGCGACTGCCCGCCTGTCCTCCGGTGCCAGTCAGCGTCCTGGGACGGCCGGCGCAGCCCATGCGGTGTTTGAAGCGCCCGGCCCGGCGACCGCCGCACACGAGCCGTCAGGAGTGCGGAGGGCACCGGGCACACCCGTCCGCCGCCAGCGCCTCGTTGATTTTACGGCCGGCAGGCGGACCGCCGCCACATCAGTATGCACCGACAACTTTCAGCGGCGAGGGACCGTTTCAGAAGCCGCGGTCACACGTGGCCACAGCCTCCACCCCGAGACGGTCGGCGCGCGACCGGCCGCCGCCGCCGCCGCCGCCGCCGCGCGATCCGTGCCATCGCCGGCCGCCGACATGGGCCATTGGCGTAATTTCAGCGGCGAGCGGCCGTTTTCTGCACGATGAGCGGCCGTTGGACGGGGCCGCTCCGCGTCCGCCCGGCCGGGCTTGGCTCGTGCCGACGACGGCCGGACGGGCGCGGCGGTCGTCGATGGCCCGTCCGGCACGGCCCGAGCGGCCCGTTACGGCACGCCCAACGGCCGGCCGGCCGATGGAGACGTTGCAAAGTCGTCAGCGGCCCTGACCAGGCCGTCGGGTGGGGGCGGCCTCGCAGACAAGGCAGGGCAGAGTGCGGCGGGCGCAGCCGGACGGCGGCACGAGGCAGAAGCTGGACTGCGGCGCCGACGGCGCGGGAGATGCCCGCCACGCACAGCGCGGCGACGGCCGATCGGTGCCGACGGCGGGGGAGCCCCGAAGGGCGATTAGCCGCTGACGCACGCCGGTAAGGAGGATGGGGCGGAGTGGACGCGGAGGGCGCGCCGGCAAGGAGGATGGGGGCGGAGTGGACGCGGAGGGCTTGAAAAACAAGTCGGCAGGCACAAGCAGCGGCGGACACAGGCAGGCCGGCGGCTGCCCACAGCGACGAGACAGAACGGCAGTGCGCACACGAGCAGGTCACAGACCATCGAAAACAACACAGAGCACTACAAAAACAATGTATAAACGGCATTCGTCGCTCTCGGCAGCCCGGCGTCGCTGGCGATGCGTAAACACGGGCAAAACACGCAGCGTCCTTTCTGAAAACAGAGTGGCATTCAGCAGCGGCGGCGCCGCCAGCCTGTCGGCTCTACCGCCACCGCAAGCCGGACACGCCCACAGCCAGGCCAGCGTACTGAAGCGGGGCGCGGGCCACGCTCGCCAGCCGCGAGCCTCCTTCGCCGGCCGCCGGGTGGGGTCAGGAGCGGGCAGGATACACGGCGGACACGGCAGCCAGCCCGACGACCGACACAGCGCCAGCGCGCACAAAAACCGGCAGCGCGACGGCCGTCAAACGCGGCGCGGCGCGGCAAAAACGGGGCGGCGACACATCGCGACGGGCGCGGCGCGGTCAGCGGCGTGTCAGCCGGGGGCGGGCGCGCGCGCCGGCCCGGCCCGCGCCTGGCGCCCCGGCCCCGGCCCGCTCACCTGGCGTCGAGGAAGCGCGAGCGCAGGATCATCACCGCCTCGCACGTCGACTGCTTGAGCTGCACCTGGATGCTGGAGAACTTCTTGTGGATGATCTGCACCATGCGCTCGATCTCCTTGGGCGTGATGGGCCGCGTCCGCGACTGCTCGCGCAGCAGGTTCATCACGTGCGTCGTGAACTCGTTGCACGCCTGCGGAGGGGCGGCGGAGCGACGGGTCAGCGGGAGCCGGCGATGGCCGCCCGGGAAGGTCACACGGCGGGCCACGCGGGCCAGCCCCGCGCCGACCGCAGCCGGTGGACGCTGCGTCGACAGGTTGGATGCTGGTTGACGGATGGGTAATGCACATCACCTCCTACGCATGACCACTACGCAGATCAGGACAGCATGCATGATTGCGGAGTCATACATGTGCAGCCGAAAAAGTCTCCCGCATGATCGTGAAGTGATATGAAAGGTCACGCACATCGAAAGGAAAAAGCATTGGTAATTTGAGAACACATCTCGCCTTACGAGTACAATACTACTACAATCAAAACGAAATGCAGCGATGTTGCGAGTTGATATTAAAGCTGAGTCACTCACGCTTAGTTTACGGGTTCGGCCTACTACGCCCCCTCAGCTGTTACTCCGCCGTCAACCCTCCTCTCCAAGCCAAACATGTCAGGCATCCAAACAAGGCCCACATCAGTCGCTCTCGCTTATTTCCGCGCAGAGAACCAGAAGCGTCAGGACAGCGCTGTCCGGCCGGCGTCAAGCCACCCACTCTTCGGCGCCGCCCCCTGCGCGCGGGCGCCGCGCTGGCCGAGCCCGGCGGTGTGCCGGCACCCGGGCCGGTCCCCGCGCGGCGGCCGGCCCGCGCGTATTGACCACAACCGGCGCGGCAGCAGCCACCATCGATCTAACAAGAGCCGATGAGTCGCGCTTCGCTTTTGAAACGCGCTGCCCGCCTTAGAGCGGGCGGCGGCCGACGGTGGACGACAGACAATCGGCCGTGGACGGCGAGCGGGCGGACGGTGGAAACGTGAGGACGGTGGACGGCACAGGCTGGATGACGGGCGGCGGGCGATGGCAAGCGGCGGTGGGCGGTGGGCGGCGGGCGGTAAGCGGCCAACGGCGGACGGCGGGCGGGCGGCGCGCAGCCCCTGAAGACGGCCGGCACCAGGTGCGGCGGCGCGGCCGCCGACGCGGCCGCCGCTCCGTGAGCCGGAAGCGCCCGGCCGATGCTCAGCTGTCCGTCCCGCGCCGGGCGCCGCCCGCTCCGGCCGCCGGAAATAGCCGGCCCCATTTAGATAGGCCGGCTCCGTTTTGGCCGGCACATTCCACGCCCCATTCGGCGACGCGAGTGGGCTCGTTACTCGTCCGTCGCCGTGATAATCATCTGGTTAGCGCCTGGACGGGCGCCGGTGCCGGCCGCCGCCGCGCGGCCCCGTGACGCGTCGGGAGGCCGCCGCGCCGGTCAGGGAACAGGCTGGTCTCGGGACACGGTCCGGCTGCCGAGCGGGCCGACACAACGGTTATGGCCGGCGATAACGGCGACGTGCCGCCTGATGGGCGTAACTAACCCATCTGCCTTTCAACACGCGCCACGGCAATCGTGCGCCTAACGACTTAAGTGGATGGGGCCATTCACTGGCCCCGTTCGCGCACGGGCCCCGATCCAAATGAGAATGGGATAGCATGTAATGTACCTAGGAAAATGAACGCGAGCAGGCGACACCGCTACTGTTGTAACGAGGCGGCCGCCGCTGGCGCATCCGAAGCGCGACACGGCGAGGCCACGGCGCTCGGGCAGGAGCCAGTGCGCAGATCCCGGCGTGCCGTGGAGCGCCAGTAGGAGCGCCCCAGCCGCGCTCCGGGTGACCTACTGTCCGGCCTGAGTGTGAAAGGTGGCCCGATCCCACAGACGGCAGCCGGCGCCAGAGCAGAACTCACAGCAGTGCGGCGCCGACGACCCGGCCGCAGCCTCACCTCACGGCCGACACCCAGCGGGGGTGCGCGCCGCTCCCAGATGGCGGCTCCCACGCGCACTGCCGGACAACACAGCGCCAGAGGCTGCCGGTGCCGACGGCCGGCGGCGGGGCGGGGCTGGGAGCCCCCCCCCCCCCCCCTCCCCCCTCCCCCTGACGTCCGCCCAGCGCCCGGCCGACAATATCCCCGGCGACGATTAAAGCACATAAATTCTGCCGGCATGACAGCTGAGAAAATGGAAACTGAACTGGCAGACAAAGCTGAGGCGAAAAAGGATTATTTGGTCTAAATAAAGAGGGCCAGATAATGCCGAGGAAGATGGCGCATCAACGTTGGGACCCAATGACCGACAATGCCCACCGCGGGCAACAGCGCCACGCTTCCAGCCGTATTTCCCGCCTTCATACCACTCCCGAGGGAAACGCGCTCTGCTCAGTCATGCAGTGAAAGGACCACCGAGTAGGTCCCTGGCAATGTTTATGGGTGCCATACCATCCAGAGCCCAGTAAGGCCATCCGGTACATAACTCACCACAAGTGTCAAACCTGACATGGGTAAACATGGAACACCACGCAGCTTAGTGGATGGGGCACCGAAACCAATCCCCAGCTGATGAATACATGAGCGCTTTGTCGTAGTCCTGGGCGGCCAAGTCAGATAATTGTTCCCGCAGCGTCCCATCTATCAGCAACGACGTTCTACAAACGCCCCATCTATTCGGCAGTGCCATTCCATCTCCGTTATGTTCATCACACAGCAGCAGAAGCATATGCCACTTAGCGTAGCGTGAGTCAGCAAAACAGCGGACGATATACGTCTTCGCGCAGCGTGTGTCGAGCTCGCTGGGCACACTGCCTGGCACCCGTCCACTGACGGTCTTACTTGCAGATATCAAACTTGTCCCATACCTCACGTGAAAGCAAGCGTGCGCGGGATAACGACGCCGTCTCTCCGAGCATTGCCGGCTGGCCCCAGCCGCGCTGCGTCGGCACGCCAGCGGCGCACGCGATTCATTCACGAGCGTCGAGGGCCGTCCCACCGTCCGGCGTCTCGGGCGGGGTCCCCCAGCACAGGCGAACGGCTCGGGCCCGTTCACTTGACCGGTGACCCCACTGCCCTGACGAGGCGCGACGCTTAATAGCGGCGATCACGGCGACACCAGAGGAGTCCACACGCTCCGTCCACATGAGCAGCCTGACGTCCGGCGCCTTACGCGGCGCGTCCTGACCAACAGCCCGCGACCAAGCACCGGGTTCAGCATGTAATCTGATTACCAGAGGATGACGTCGGCGCCGGCCAGCCGCTGAATACAGCTGTCAAAGCATGCATGAGAAACAGATATGTGACGACACGCACAGGAACGCTAAATCCTTAAACCGCACACCAAGCTCTTAAGCCGCGGTATGCTACTGCACAACCGCCGCATAACCAACTTCGCCATAAGCCAGAAGCCGCACCGCCCCTGAAGCTGCGGCGGCATTCCAAGCTGTCTGCGCGCGCGCCGCGGCCGAGTGAGGACGAGCGCGGCCGTGCGCCAGCGTGACTCCCGTGATTCACGGGCGCTGAGTCACGAGTCGTTCGGCGTGCTCAATCCCACCGTTTTATGTTCACGCTCTGCAACTAGGGGCAGGACTTGTGTTTACGACTTCATTGCGGGCATACTTCCTGCAGCCCAGCCCATGTCGGAAGTTCCCGTGAAGTTGTGCGCCATGACACGGAAGTTTACTTTACGAAATAAAGCGTAACATCGGATAACATTAGGCATTGGTCTGGGACATGTAAAAAAACCCACGCAGGGCATACACGGGGCGGGAAAATATCGCATTTCCAACTCCAAGGAAACCGAAATACACGACCACAAACGCCCAGCCCACCATGGAATCCAGTGCCTATCTCAGCGGAGGTCAGACAGTCGGCTAGTCCGTTCTGCTAATTCGATTTTGTGACCAGCTGAAGGCTAATAACTAATGCGCGGACTCAGCATCGGTTCTTTCTACTTAAGGGCGTGGAGCGGAAAATTGATCCCCTTCCATGCCAAGTATTCAGATAAATTCAAATTTATCCCGAGATATTCAGACCAAAGAAGATTTCTCATGCCCCTGCTAACGTTCCCAAGGTCTGCCAGGCCTCGGGAAATGCCACACCACTGGACTGTGTAGCAGCCAGAGAGTTGCCCAGGTGACATGTCTGTGTCCTGAATACCTAATATTTTGAAAATATAACCATCAGAATTCATTTAGAATTGGTTGCTTTACTCACCGGTTCCACTTGCTGCTTCCCACCAATCAAAATATTTTTTACCATTACATCAAAAGATTTTCCCGTTGGGAAACATCTACATACGTTTGCCTGTTTGAAGGAGAATCAATCGGTTACGTTTGATTTAAAAGACCTGCATAATAGCACTTATGCAATCAACTAAGCGCTGTAAGAATCCATAATCCAATCTTTCTACTTAACAGAGTGGATAAGTGATTCCCACATCCGCGGCTGGAATCCGTGCGCATGCGTTTATCAACAGCTCCCGCCTCCCCCACGACCCGCTAGCAGGGTCGATTAGCCGCTACCTGCGGCCAGACGACAACCGGCGGCTAGTCGGCCAGCTGAAGCCGGCCCTTCGGCAGGGACAATGCAGCTGTACTGTCATGCACTGTGACGATGTCGCTGCGTTAGCGAAATCAGCTGACGCCGTCATTTCACCCGCGAGGCTCGCGAACGCAGTGAGAAGACTAGCAGCCATGCCATTTCACGCACTTCGCGGCGCGTGAGCGTGCAAAGGAAATTCTTCGCCACCGCTACAAAACTCTCAGCCCAGTTTGCAGATCCCATGCTGGTTTGCAGGCTGCGAGACTGAATGGTGAAGGCAGGCAGTGCATGACCTATGACAAAAGCCTGGGCCACTGTAAATTGCACTCTCCTGTTGCATTGGTAACGAATGTTGAACATCCAATCAAATTGGATGCTATCCTTTTAGCACGGAACCACTCTCAGCTGGCAGATTCTGGATCGTGCTTCCAAATTATCCAATGATCCAAACGGCATGCTAGCGACCTGCTCACCTTTGCCACGTGGCGTTTCCCGCTTCAGCTATCCCCAACCAAAGCATCGCTCGCATTAGGAGCACGTCGACACTAATGCATCACACCGCGGGGAACCGACGAATGATCTTTCACCTTCCCACTCGGCCGCGTTCATCGGCCACGCCGCACTGAACAGTCCCCCAGAACGGATCGTGCATGCAGAACCCGCAATAACTTACAAAACGACGGTAATTTCACATTGCTGGCTATCGGTGATTCCAAAAATCACAACATAGCTATCGACGGAGCCCTGAGAACGCCTACAGATGCGTCCGATGTGCGTTGAGTTTGGTTGGAGAAATAGCAGGGCGGTCCGCTCTCGGAACATATAACCTGGATGTTATTGACGAAATGCGAGCACGACAAACGGAACAAGGCTGGCTGAAGCCACGGAGGCTCCGAAGCTACGCGTCAGATGTACAGCATTGACGTTCGTGGTGGCATCATCATTGCGAGGCCCTGAGCCCTGAGGCCCAATGACGATTTTTATGGGGTGTGGTTCACGCGGAAGTTATTAGCATCAATCAGTTAGGAGATGGCTTGCTTTCCAGGGCCAAAGCGCCGCGCGTCAACTGTTCCAGCGATGCTTTCCGGACGGGCTTCATCAAGCAGCAACGAAGACACGGGAAACTGCCGCCGGAACCAACTGCCGGAAAGTACACAACTGTCCACCAAGCCCTCTTCAAACACCTGCAGCGAGCCGCTCTAAACAAATCCCATAAACTCTCCACGTGGCCAAAGGCCGGGTGCGTCACATGTGCTCGAAGGATTTGCGCAGCGTCGCCGTTTCCGCGACTTCGGGAGCTCACGGGCCGTCGCACCGTCAGGGCTGCCACGGTCAGGTGCGATCGGGCCCGCGACGGGCGGACGCGGCCGCCGCTCTCGACGCCGCCTCCGCCGACGGCCATCCCGGGCGGCGCTGCCGGGCCGCTCAGCCACCATGGCCCATTCGCCGACAAAACTGCAGCGGCGACGGGGGACGCCGGCCGACCCGGCCCGCCGTTACCGACGCGACGACGGACGCTCGCGTCGGCGACGACACCCCGGTGACCCAGCACGGCCCAACTTTTCCTATGAGGCTATTAATACGAAAGACCGTCCGCTCGCAACAGCAATCAATGCACGGCCCGTACAGGCGCATTAGCCGCCGTTACTTGCGGTCCACGGGCATTAAGTGGTCGTTGGAGCAATGTATGGGAAAAGTGGCGGAGATGGAGGATGAAGATTACGCCCATATATGTCGGCGAGCACCGCGTATGGGGTGCAACAGATGATGCAGCGGCATTTTCAACTTGAGCGGGGCAGCTGGTGCCAGCCGTGACCGCGGTCGGCGCACGGCCTCCGTGACGTATCCGGCTAATAAAATCCTCTTCATTACAATGCAACGGGGATTAGTGGCCGCGGAAAAGCCTGGCCGGCTCGGAGTGACGCCAACTGGTGCACGGTAGCCGCACGCGGCGCTTTACGAGGACGGGTCATCCTGGCACCAGGCGACGCGAGGGGGGCCCCGTCAGCAGGACCGCACGGACCGGCCCGGATCACAGTAAATCACTCGAAGCGCTCAGCAGCAATACAATGCAGGGACATTAAGTCATCTCCACTCGCAAGACAAAGCGCCAACTCCGACGGCAGAGATAAGATGCGACGCGTTCCGTGGACGGCCGGCCCACGCAGAGATACGGCCTGGAAATCCATCCGAGAAATGTCTAAATCTGGAATCAAGCACCGCGACACATTTTCCACGACACTCGCGCCTGTCGCACTGCGCGTGCTGGACCACGCATGCCTCGCTGAGTAACGCACCCCTGGTGCTGAGCAGCGTCCATCACTCAAGGTACCTCGTAAGGCGCCCCGTCGTCTCCGTCCCCTCTATGCCTTTGGTATGCTTCGAACGTGGGAATATCTGTACCTTTCCCACAGCTCAGTCTGCCGAATCTGAGATATTCAGCCTATATGACCTGTGCGATTTTTTCCCGAGGGTCACATGCCGGACCATCCCCACAATCGTAGGTCTAAGCTCCTGGTGGTAGAGCTGCCGGATCTCCGCTCGGACCCCTCTCACCCGTTTGTATTTCTCGAGCTCCTGGTGGTAGATCTGCCGGATCTCCCCCGGACCCTCACCTGTTCGTAGATCTCGAGCTCCTAGTGGTAGATCTGCTGAATCTCCCCGAACCTCTCTCACCTTCCCACATTTCTCGAGCTCCTGGTGGTAGATCTGCCAGATCTCCTCCGGACCCCTCTCACCTGTTCGTATTTCTCGAGCTCCTGGTGGTAGATCTGCCGGATCTGAGCCAGCTTGGCCCGGTAGTCGGAGTGCTCGATGGTGCCCTCCTGGGAGGCGCCGCCGGCGGCGGCCGCCGCGCTGGCGTTGGTGGCCGCCTGCGCGCCGCCGCCCTTCTCCGGGCCGGCCACGCCCTCGGCGATCAGCATGTTGTCGAGCCGCATCAGCTGCGGGTCGGGCGGCTCCTCCTCCTGCGTGTTCCGCAGGTTGATCACTGCAACGGGAGAGGGCTGCGGTGAGGCGCAGGCCGCGGGCACGCGGATGCAGCGCCCACCACAACTGTGGCTGCAATCGCCGGCACCGGTCTGTGTGTGTGGGAGGGGGGGGGGGGGGGGGGAGGGGCGCTCCTTTAAATGCGACGCTCGAGGGTACTCAACGGGGAAACAGAGTCCCAACTTCGAACGTAGGGGACCGGGGAGTGAACGCCGTATTGCGGGAGGCGCGTCGGAGCCAGTCGCGCTTGGATTTCACGACTGCAGGCAGCACTCAAGAAACAATGGAAGACATTGAAAATGCCTCGAGGAAGAGCCTCGGCGGAAGCTGTCGCAGCTCATCAGGCTCCAATGCGGGGAGCAGCCATCGCGATGGCGATTCCTAAGTGACGCGAGTTACGCATGAGACCGGGAGCCCAGGAGAGGGGACACTGTCCTTCTCCTGGATGTACCTCTCTGGCAGACACATGACAGGGCACGCTAGCGGGGTTTGGGCCGACACGGACGACACTTAAGGAGGGTGAGACAGGCTGGGACTGCCGACACAGCGGAACTTCCTCCGTCGCCAGCCCAGCTCGACAGCCCAGCCTCCGGGAACTCCTTGCTCACTCGCGCGTGGATCCAGCCGCGAACTGCACGCCCGTCAAGTTCGCGGTGCCTAACTCGGCCAATTACCAGCGCTCTTCGATGAGACGGTTGAACAGCGCCAAAAGTCAATTGACCCAAATTGCAGCAAGTTAGTACGCACGGCACTCTGGCGCCCAACAAAGCCCGCACATGGCCGAGTGCGCGCAGTGCACTCATGTTGTAATCATTACATTTGTCAGTCGAATGCCACCACTTGCAGTAAACTGCCTCTGATGAGTGATTCCCGCTAAACAGCCCGAGACAGGCTGTATGAAGGCCTTCGGCACGCCGACAAAGCGGATCGCCACGCCGCCGCTGAGCAGCAGACGCAGGCGGACGACCTCCGCGCATGACTCGCCGGCGACCGGGACCGGCGGCCAGCCGGCAGCGTCGCGCCGCCGACGGCACCACGCCGCTGCGATCAAGACGGGCTCAGAGCTCCGACGCTCGCTCGCCCGTCCGGCACCGCATGCGTCTGGGCACAGGTGGCACCGGCTGGTTGGCTCGCCACAAAAACAGGCGTCGGTAATTGTTGGACCGGTCACGCACGGACTGCAGAGCAGCCGGCTTCATGTGACTGGAGCCGTGGCCACGCGAGTGCGCAGCCAGCACTACCAGCTTAGCACGTCCCGACTGAGGATTTCACGTCACGTGGCCCAAGTTGTGACCCCGTCAACAACGCTATCGCCGTCGGCACGTCCGGACCGAAGACCGTGCGCCTTCACGTGGCTCAAGAGGACACATAAGCGCGGCCAGCACGTAAGCGCGCGACCGCGCACGACTGTCGTCGAAACCACGTGAGCCCATCTACCATCATCACATGCCGCGACCAGAGACCACAGGACCTCACGTGACGGCGGTTGGGACCACGTGAGCCCATCAATCACCACCAGCGTCACGTCAAGATCAGCCAGCACGTGGCCTCATACGGCTGGAGTCGGCAGCGCGTGCACACGATCATCACAATCCACCGCGTGCGCGCCGCCGCCCCAGTGCCGCGATGACGCGATTGACCAATCAGCGTGCGTGGCTGTCACCCAGCCGTGGAGTGGGCGAATTCCGGGCAGTTCGGCCAGCTCGCAACCAGTAGTACCCCTGAAGCGTCCAGCCAGCACCACCAGCCCGCAACCAGCAGTTCCGCTGAAGCGTCCAGCCAGCACCACCAGCTTGCAACCAGCCCCCCCCCCCCCCCTGAAGCGTCCAGCCAGCACCACGGGCCGTATTGTAATCAGACATGGCTGCCGTGCCGCGAGGCCCTACCCGAATGTTGACATAACACTGGCCCGAGCGAGTCACGGCGGGTCCGGTGAGCAGCACGCCATCACCGTCCGTCAAAGCCGCTGCTCTAGACGCACTTCACGCCGCCGTTTGACGCGCCTGGATTCACCGCCGGCCCGCGTGCTAGCGCCGGATCGAGCGTGCCCCCTGACCCTGGGTGGCGAGTGACCCGCCTGCCGCGCGCCCCGCGGCCGATCACTCCTCCGCGAGTGTCGGCCGCCGACACTCCGTCACTCCGCGCCGCCGTGAACTCGGCCCGAATCTGCACGTCACATAACTCATCATTTATGAACATTGATTATATTTAAGAACCGGTCGGCGCGCGGGCCGCGGCGGCCGGGCCGGGCCGTGCCGCCGAATAAAACCGTAATTGCAGAGGGCTGGCGGGGGGCCGGACGAGACCGCGGCTCGGTTCAAAGGTGGGGAATTTCCGCCGCCACACTCGCATCCGGTCGGCCGGACACCGAAGGCTGCGCTCCAGGCGGACGCCGGCATCTCGACCATGCCCGCATCCATCACGGTTATGTTGATCTTCATTCATGAATCATGCACGCTTCTCCGCATGAAATGGCCCCGCATTGCATAAACCGGGAGCGAAAGAAAGCATCCGTCGAGTCAACGGTTTTCAAGTCATCTACGCAAGCGTTCGGCGACAAAATTTTGTGTCGAATCTTAGAACGATTCATGCTGGTTTAGACAAACCTCGTAATGACTACAAAGACCCAGAAACGGACACCACTACTTCGGTCGGAAGCGTAGGGCTCTTTTTCATCTTTGCTCCTCATAAAACGCGTTGCAGGTCGTGTGTTGAGCGAGATATCATCGTCATGTAACTAGCTTGATCCGAGCTTGATAATAACAGAGTAATGTATAGGGGAAATAACGCAAATAAATTCTGCAACGTCCCTCAAATTAATTAGAGATGCTAGGCTACTTTGTGGCTTCGAGCTTCATTCTCGCATTTTCTGTCCTGGCAAACAACATTGTAAGCGGTTATAATTGCATGTTGATGTTCAAAATGCTTCGCAATGGGGTGTCATGAGTTGCATACAACGAATTACACAGACCACTAAGGAAGACGGACTATTTTTTAACTGGTTAGGATGGTATATTACTGATAAAATAATGCACTTACATACTAAATGGTCTCAGTCGTCCCCGGATCCGCCTCGGTCGTCCCCGGATCCGCCTCGGTCGTCCCCGGGCCCGTCTCGGTCGTCCCCGGACCCGCCTCGGTCGTCCCCGGACCCGCCTCGGTCGTCCCCGGACCCGCCTCGGTCGTCCCCAGGCCCGCCTCTGTCGTCCCGGGACCCGTCTCGGTCATCCCCAGGCCCGCCTCGGTCGTCCCCGGACCAGTCTGGGTCATCCCCGGACCCGCCTCGGTCGTCCCCGGACCCGTCTCGGTCATCCCCAGGCCCGCCTCGGTCGTCCCCGGACCCGTCTGGGTCATCCCCAGGTCCGCCTCGGGCGTCCCCGGACCCGCCTCAGTCGTCCCCAGGCCCGCCTCGGTCGTCCCCAGACCCGCCTCGGTCGTCCCCGGACCAGTCTCGGTCGTCCCCGGACCCGTCTCGATCGTCCGCAGACCCGCCTCGGTCGTCCCCGGACCAGTCTCGGTCATCATCAGACCCACCTCGGTCATCTTCAGACCCACTTCGGTCGTCCCCGGACCAGTCCCGGTCGTCCCCAGGCCCGCTTCGGTCGTCCCCGGACACGCCGACCGGCCACCGCCATCCTGAGCGGCGGCGGCGGTGGCGGCGCGTCCTTGGCCGGACCGGCGCCGGGCGGCCGGCGGCCCAACGCGACGCCGTCACCCGGCCGCCGCCCGTCAGCGCGGCGCCCATTCTGCTGCCAATCAGCCGCCTTTTTATTAAGCTCGGATTAAACGGAAACTCAGTGGACACCATTAATTCCGGACATAATCCGGCCGTCGCGGTCCGGCGATATATGGCCGCTGTTGCGGCGGCGCGTCAGACAAGCCGACGACTTCATCGCCGAGTCCGGGCCGACGGGGCCTCCGGGACCCGGCGTCGGGACGGCGCGCCGCCACACAGAGCGCCGCCGCCCGGCCGTGTTGCAGAGCGCGCGGCGCGGCGCCGTGGGACCGGCCGCAATTTATGGACAGGCCACTCCGCTATTACGCTTCCTTTTCATTGCCGCCATTCATATTCAAATCTCGCACACCTCTTTGTGCGCGGCTTGGCGATGCAAAAAGACAGCTCTCGGAGAAGAGCGGGCCGCCGCGCCGCTCCGAGAAACTCCATCACAGCGCGCTGTGACAGATTTATGTCGGGAAAATGAGCCGGCGACCCTGTAGGGCAGGTTCGGCCACAGCCGCGTCGCTCATGATTGCAGCGCCGCCGCGCTCCGATAGATTAATGGCGGCGCCGGTTCACGACTCGCCGGCGAGGGACGGCTGGCGGCGGCTGCAGCCGTCCGGCCGACGCCCCGGTTACCACAACCGCTGGTGCACTTGAGGCCTGCAGATCACTCTGGCGGTCAATAATAGAGCTTCTGCCGGCTGCATCGGCGTGCGGGCTTGCGCTGATCAGCTCCCCCTGGACTAAAGCAATTCAACTGCCCCAAAACTTATGTCCATCGTCAAACCATCCTGCTGAAATACGCCTGATCCAGACGCACTGAAAAAAACACGGACTGAATCCCACGCCGAACTCCGGCTACCGCCCGGAAAAAAACGCGTCCGAACGGGTGGCCGGAGGAGGCGGAACGGCAAGCGGCCGATGGTCGCGGCTTCACTTCACGATTTACAGCAGCGCGCCCATGTATCGCCGGCCGCATTCCATCTCGTTTTTGCCGGTCGCCATGGCGACCGGGCCGATTGGGCCGTCGGCTAATGGAGAATGCAGGGCCGGGGAGTTTGCGAGGCCATTCGTCAGGATCAGACCATGGACGGCCACCGTGCGGCGAAAACAACGGGCGTGCTTTATCGTCGGCGCGGCCGGCGGGGCACGTCGATCGTCGTCGGCCCGACCCGACCTGGCCGCCTGACGTCAGCGGAGCCGCTCCGGCGGCGGCGGCGGCGGGGGTGGGCCGCCGGCCGCCGCCGCCGTATCGGACCGCCCAGCCGCACCGCGTCTGG